CCACCCAAATTGAGGGGAGCATTTACCTCTCTACCCCTCCAACAGGGGAGGATGACCAACTTAACCTTGGTCATAGAGACTCTCATCGGTAATCCTTACCCATCACGCACAGTTTTACCATCCAGAAACAGTCAGGGCGCTTGTGCTCATAACAACGGCTAGTTAGGGGCACCTCTGCCCGTTCCAACGACTAGTTCTGGCAGTTACCTATTCTTCGGGAAACGGTTATCTCGTCCCAAAAATAGGGACCAATGGCCAAGCGTTGGGGGTATTATAAAAATCCTCTCACTTGAGAGGGCCAGCTATCCAATATTCACCCTGATATACTCATATTTTGTACTTGTTCTCTGTTGCCCGATTCTTACTTTAGCAACAAAGTGCCTTGTAGGTACACCCCCTCCTCCTCTCTCACATCCAACATCACAGGCCTTTGTCTCTGCCCCGCTCCAGGTTCTGATCAGCCGTCAAGATCAGGTTTTATCGGTGATATTGCATTTGAATGTTCTGGCTGTTTATAATATAAGGTATGTTGATGCTAATTTCCAGGCAATGTTGTGAATAATTTTTAACCAATGAAAACTATGTTGAATTCCCCCATGATTTACTATTTTTTTTAATATTATTTTTATTTATTATTGGTTTTAATTGAAAGGAAAACAATAAAGTTTGGAAGCCAACAATTATCATGGCTATTATGCTTTTTATTATTTTTTTTCATAACTATCATTAAGTTTTAGAACTCTAAAATTTTATATGTCAGTTTTGTTCTCTTTAAAATTATTAGGTTTAGATTTTCTACTATAATATATTAATTATAATGTTTTATGATAATATTTAATTGGGTTCCTCTTTTAATCATATAGTTTTTAGTTAGGTTCATTGAATTTCTCTTATTACTTTTTGGTAGCTCATGTCTATTAGAGTAAATTTAATAATAATTGGTTTGTTTTAAAATCAACTTTAGATTATTATTAATGAAAATTTTAGATATATTAAGGTTAGAATTTTTGTAAATCCTATGCTAATTCGATTAAACATTTCTTCTAATTAAATCGGGTTATCTTAAATCATTTGTCACTAACACGAATTCAAACCTCGATCAACATCGAGTATTTTCTTAATTTAATCAAATCATTTTCTTAAATAATAATGAAAGGGGTGAGTTCTTGTGGTCTAGCACTCCTTAGATCCTTGAGTGAATTCTCTTGGGACGACGCCTTGGGTTGTGTTCGTTCCGTCTTTCATCACTAAAAACTTTTAATCCATTCAAATCTTAAGCCGATTAAAGCACTTAATCTTCTTTAAAACTTCTAATCCTTCTAAAACACTCAAGCCGTTTAAATATGTAACACGTCTAATCAAAATACCCTAATCACATTCAAATCTTTTCATAATTAAATTACGTAAGAAATGATCTCTTAGAATCTCACATTCCTTGGGTTCTCGAGTGACTGCTTTTGGGGCGCAGACCTTGAATTGTGGGTCATTCGGTCTTTCGTTTCAAAATAATTGCTCTAATCATTTGAATAAAGTAGTTCATTGTCCAACAAGCACAATTTCATAATTAATTGAATAAAAAGGTGTCGTTGAGATCTAGCATCCCAATAATGCCCCGATTAATTGGTTGCGAGGTTGACGTCTCGTTTATCGAATAATCGTCATTCTCCCTTAACGTACTTAACTAATTAAACCTCATTTTCTCGCTCCTGTGCGACCAAAATCCTACAACCTATTCAAATCAAACTATTTTTCTCAATCAAAATCCCTAATACACTTAATCCATTTCAAACAACTTTTTGCAAAGAACATTGTTTAGTTCTTTCTTCCGCGCATATAAACCCGTGCTTCAGCCTCCCCTAGTGAGCAGATAAGTCAATGTTTAGCAGTTAGAATGCGACCTAAACACTCGTTCATAAAAGACACTAACTAACCAATTGCAGTCTTCCGAACTACGATTGCTCTGATTTCCTCATTGCACTATAAGGGTACGTAGGCATAGGGTTGCGAGATCCTAGCGAGCTACCTTTTCTTTTTATCCCTAAACATTTACCCGTAGTCCACGAACTACGATGCTATGACTTTCCCATTGCACGAGGGAGTACGTAGGCACAAGGGCTGCGTGAAGGTGAGAAAACACTTAGAAGGGGGTTGAATAAGGGTTTAGAAAATATTATGGCAATTAAAACACAATGATTTTTATCCTGGTTCGTTGAACTCAACTACTCCAGTCCACCCTATCAAGAGTGATTTGCCTTTCTCCTCAAGGACTTAATCCACTATAATCAAACAGATTACAATGACAACCACTAAGAACAACTGTCTTAGTCTTCTCAAGAACTACTGACCACAACTTGGTCTTCTTAAGGAACCTTTACAAATAAATGTAAACTAACAAGTGTGTTTGATGCTTCTAAAAAGCTATATCACAAACTGTGATTTTCACACTTAAGATTAAGAACGAATAAGAAAAACTATTTCAGCTTTGAATGATTGTATGAGAGTTGATTCGTTGGTAGTTCGTTAGCTTTGAAGAGATGAAGATAACATCCTTTTATAGTGCTGAGAGTCCAATGTTTGAAGACTGTGCAAGTAGAGTAGTTGTAGCCTTTTGTCTTCACATGACTTTTCCTTTCTCACAAGTAGAATGTTCAGAGAAATGTCTTTTTTCTGAATCCTTGTGTCTATCACAAATAAGGAATAGTTCCATTGGAGAGGACGTTGAGAATAGTACCAAGTCTATTCACGTGACATCTTTTCAAATGTAAACAACATCAGATCCTCTGATGTGTTTCTTGTTCTTCAGATCAGATTCATATGATATCAGAGTTGCAGCCATAGTGCTTTAGCGTGAGTGATCTGATCAGAGCATACTGGTTATTCAGAGCCTCTGTACTTGCAGCGTAAAGTACATTCAGAGTCTTCTGAAGCAATGCTTGAAACTCTTCATACAAAATCTTCAGCTACGCTTCAGATGCTTCTGTAGCTTCTGCTTCAGAGTCTTCTGCAGTTTCTGCTTCAGAGTCTTCTGGCAGCTTCTGCAGTTTCTGCTTCAGAGTCTTCTGACAGCGCTCAGAATCTTCTGATTAGTTGTTTCTGATGTTTCAGAGCCTTGCGTAGAGAACGTTCATATGTATTTTTGCCTTTATCAGAATATTCAATTTTAATATCTGAAACAAAAACACTTGAACAAAATTAGAGTATATATTTTCTTAATACAAAATTTCATTAGTGTTATCATCAAAACAATGAGATATATTTAAACACCAATCTATGTTCTAACACTGCAATCCTTGGCGAGCACCCTAATAAAAAAACCACTCATTTCCCCCTTAGAAACTACATCATTTACTCGTTACTTCCTTAGAAGAAAACAAACAAACCTAGCTAACTTTCCTCTCGAATCGAATCAAGAGGTTCCCATTGAGTACAACGGACGTAGAGGATGTTAATACCTTCCCTCTTGTGTAATCGACTCCCGAACCTAGAATTTGGTTGCGATGACCATGTTCTTATCTTTTTGAAGGTTTTATCGATATTTTCTTATTCCTTCCTTGGAATGAATAAAGTTCGGTGGCGACTCTGTTCGAACGTTTTTTCCACGTCCATCGTGAGGATCGTATTTTTCGAGGTACGACACTATCAAACAAAAAGATACTTCCAGTTCCTTAGATCTTATTCAGTGTTTTAGTCATTTTTTCATAAGATTTACAAAATAAAAACTAGCATAAAGTGAGGGTTGAACAAATAAAATGCTTCATTAATGTGTTTCACCATGAAGAGTTATATTTTCTTAACACATTATTAACAATTTATAAGAGGGTTTTTAACCTTCGAAAATAAAATCCGTAGTTTAAATCAAATTTTTAATACATCTGAGTCAGATGTTTGGTTGTTCATCCACGTCACCATAACTTAACCTTTTTGCCACAATTTGACGGAAGAAATCAAATATAATAACGAAAATGAAGTTAAGTGACTAAATTCTAACGTTTTTTATTTAAAAAATTAAAGTAAAACATTAAACTAAGTTATAAGACTGAAAATAAATATGTAAAAGAAATATTAAATTAATTTTTAATTATTTTATCTTTTTCTCTCTTATTTCTCTCTTAACCCTTGGATTAATCCAACAACACATTCTAGTGAAGGACATTCCTAGTGTGAGAGAAGCATAAGAGTGTGTTTATATGAGATAATTGAGAATTTTTAGGAAATTTAAAATTTTAAACAATTCAAATGATTCAGTAGAAATTGATTCAGTTCTAAATTTTTTTGTTTGAATGAAATATTAAAATGATTCATTGTAAAAATTTTGAGGTCATTTTTATCATTTTTAAAACTTTTGGTTCACATTTAAAATATGAAAAATAGAGACCAATTTATAATTTTTGAAATTTTGAAACGACCAATTTGTAAAATTTAAAAATTATTAAAGACTTATTTGCAATTTTTTGAAAATTTTAGGAGTCAAATTTTTAAAAAATATAAAAATCATCTTGCAAAAATTAAAAATTTCATAATAAACAATTTAACATTTCTCTTATATAGAATGAAGATGTAATTTAATTTTTTTTATTTTTTTGTGTTATTTTAAATTTTTTAAATTTAATATAAATAAAATATTCTATAAATTTAAATCATTTTAACCATTCTCGATATTTTTTATCTAAAAAATAAATTTTGATCAAATTATTTTAAGTTTCTTAAAAAAAATTAGGTTTTTCTAGTTAAAATATTTCATCCAATCCAAACAAACTCTAAGAAAAGAGCGGATCCATTAGCAATCCAACGACTTTAGCGGTTCACGGCGCAAGAACTACGTCATTCTTCCATACACACAGTCAAAAAATAATAATAATACTGTATTAAATTGGCTGTCGGTGGGTGGGTTAATGTTGCCGCTGCAGCTTCACATTCACCTACTTGTATAATTCGACTTCAATTCTGACCATAAGATAAACCTAATCCCAAATCCTCAGTTCATTGAGCAATTTGGAAGAATGTCGTTGTCGGCGTCGGAGATCGCTCAGAAACTGAATCTGCTACCTCATCCAGAAGGTGGCTTTTACGCAGAAACATTCCGAGATCACTCCGTTCATCTTTCCACCTCTCACCTCCCTCCAGAATGTAATCAATTCTAACCTTTCTTTTCCATTTCATTTACCATTTATCATTCCTTTACTCTCTCTCTTTCAACAGACAAAGTTGATCGTCCCGTTTCAACTTGCATATATTTTCTGCTTCCATCGGGTAACATGTCTCGCCTTCATCGTATCCCTTGTTCCGAAACTTGGCATCATTACATCGGAGAACCCATCACCGTAATTCCGCTCCATTTTTTATCAACTGCAGAATCCAAATTAATCCTCAAGAAAAAAAAAATATATTTAATCTCTTACAATAATTGATGTTTGTTTTATTTGTAGGTGGTGGAATTGAATGAGACAGATTCAAGTGTTAAGTTTACATGTCTTGGATCTGATCTAACTAAGGATCAGACACCGCAATACACGGTTCTTCCCAATGTCTGGTTTGGTTCTTTTCCGACCAGTGATTTCACTGTCTCTGCGGATGGGTCATTTTTGAAGGGTCCAGAGAGAGATGGTGAGAGTCACTACTCACTTGTAGGATGCACTTGTGCACCTGGTTTTCAGTTCCAGGATTTTGAACTTGCTAAACGTTCTTACCTCGTTTCACGTTTTCCTCAATTCGAGACTCTCATCAATACTCTAACGTTTCCTGAGTAATGCTGCTGCCTCCGATTGCTTGTGTTTGCTTTCTATCTTGTGTAGTTACTGAGTTTATAGTACCTTTCCATCGAATAATTGTCAATGTTTACACTTTTTCTTCTGCTGTTTCTGTATGAATGAATGCTCCTTTGATGGAAGAAAGTAAGACAGTTGTATTGTAATTTTTACATGCTAAGAATTTCGAAACCTTTGCATTACTTTTGCATGTGGTATTATACAAAAATAAACTTGTAACATGTTTGATTGGTAATATGTTGATTGATAATCCCTTGGCTTCTTAGTGATGAGAATAGTCTATTTCCATTTTAGGCCTATTAAAAACTGGACAGGAACTGGATTAATTCAACTCAACAACATCGATATCTCAGGGTGTATTTACTCTTGAAATTATTGAGATTTAAAAAAAAAAAAAAATGAAACTATTAATTTTAAAATATGAAAATGCATGGAGAATGAATATATTCTCTTTCTTTCTTTTTTTAGATTTTTAGATATCTAAATTCTAAAATATTATATTATCTTTAATCTCTAATTTTTATTTATTTAACAATAATGATATTATATAACCCTTATATTGATTAATTTTAATATAGATTTTTACAGTATATAATCCTACGTATACTGGTCAAATTTAATGGCCGCGTTCATGTATGGTATAGGTAACAAGCAAGTTGACTTCAATCACAACCATTGATGAATTCTTAAAATTTTAAATCATTAAATCAAGGGCGACAAACAAATTTAATCATGGTAAGGAAATTTAACAGATTCCATGGATGGTAAGGAAATTTAACAGATTCCATGGGTCAATTTTAAATGTCACCCAGGGAAAGCTAACGAATATAGCAACACACCTCATTGAAACAGATTCGAATTTGCAATACAGAAACTTTTCACTAAATGTTCACATTCTTGTATATAAAATTCTTCTTCTTTCTCAGTATATTTTACTTTCTATGGCAAAGTTTAAAACCTGCACCACTATCCTTAAAAAGCTATACAACAACACTAGAGAAGCAACTGTTAAATTAAAACAGAAGACTTACTCATATACATTTCCAAATGAACAGCTATATTAATAGATATTTCTACTCAATAATATGGAAAAAGAGTAGATTTCAACTGTCTTCTCCACCACAGCATAGTGAACAACATTCGAAGCAGGCGAGGCATCCAAGGCCAATGCAAAGTTGGTTCAATGCAATAAGACATTGGTTGTTCATCTTGGAAAAGCACTGGATGCAGCACATGCAACAACAGTAACCACACACGGTGTCACAGCAATTTGAGGCCGCTTTAAAGATTTCAGCCATTTCAGGCTTCGGTTCAAATCCTGGAGGAGTATTTTGAGCTGTTGCAGCTAAGCTGCCAAAGCCAATACCTAAGTATGGGAGTAAAATCGTTTTCTGGCCTTGGACATTTGCCTTAGAATGTTTCTTTTCTGACACCTGCTCAAAATTATTGAAGAAGTAATGTTTAGTAAAGCTTTTACAGAGGTTTTAATCCAAGTTTTATAACAAAATAAGAAATCCATAAATAGACTATGAGCTTTCAGTTGAAACAGACAGGCTGATTCTTACTTCTTTCGCTCCAGGTGATGATTCCTTGGTTTTCTTTAGATGATCATTCTCCAACATTATCATACTTGTATACTCAGATATAAAGCCGGTCTGCAGGCTCAGTTTTGCAACCTGCCAATTAAATGACATGTCATAAAAAAATATTGCATGGAAAGCAAACAGTGAGTAGAGTGATAGCATAGGAAATATTTACCAACCTTTTGTTCTAATTGTTTATTATCTGAAAGCCATGCTTGAGCAGTAAGATGCTCTATTTGATCTCTAGCAGAAATCTGTGGAAGAGAACATAATGAGCAATAATAACTAAGGAAAGTTTATTCATAGAGCAGCATCTAGTTAAGGATGAAAGGACCATGATTGAAGAATAAAATGAAGCAAGCATGTATGTATGAATAAATCACGGGCATAGTGAAGAAAGATAAAGATGGCCAATAAACCAATGGTTCTCTATATACAGAGATAAAAACTTAAGACAGACAAAGAAAAAGAATATATTAAATTTGTCTAGATCCTAATTTATCAGGTCTTATAGAACTGATTATACATGACCCAGCTGTTAACTCGTGCTTTAAGGAAAAACATATTCTTCAAAGTAGTTCACATAAACATGAAGTTTTTTGCTTATGCAGCACCCACAAACAAACAAACAATCTCCTTTACAGAAATAGTAGACATAATTCCAACAAAAACTAACAAGAAAAATTGAGTATGCTAAGTAGAAGAATACTTTACCCTTTGTACAGGTAGGCCCTTATCCCTCTGTATCTTCAAATCTATTTCAAAATTACTAAAATCAGCCAAGATACCATTGACTTTAAGAGTTTCAGGAAAATTTCCCTTGTATCTGCCTGATAAAACCAGTGGACCCTCTAAAGAAAGATCCGGGATATTGGACGGATATACCTATCACAACAAATTTCAGATAATGCCATAAGAAAGAGCCACAAGATCAGAGAAAATTAACAAAATTCAAACATACAATAAGATATATGTATGTAACAGAAAGTATATAGTAATAATTTCCAGGATTTGCAAAAGTTCAGTTCCTTCAAGGCAGAATATATTGGTTTTCATTTTGGAACAACATCCTAAAAGTAGTTATAAACAGAAACCAGATGATCGAAACTGTATATATAATATATACCACAAATCCCCAAAAGGTGTGTTGTTTCGTGTCAGATATGCATCCGACGCATATCTGTTCGGAAACATTGGATACACCAATTACTTCAGATCTTTCTTTGGTCCGAACCTCCATGTTTTTATATTTTTTTAAGTGTGAGCCTCTTCAACTACTCTATTAATTTCCTTCTATTTGTAATTAATTTAATTTCAATATATGTTTTATTTGTATGGTCTTCTCGGGTTATTTTCTGACTTAAATTTTTTTTTCTATTTCTATATTGTATTTGCTAATAATTTGTCAAATTTTTAGTGTTATGAATGTGTATCTTAATTCCTAAATGTATCCTAACTGTGTCAGAATCTATATTTTCTAAGAAATTACTTATCACTGTGGTATCTTGTATAGTATCTGTACATTAGGGATGGCAATTTGACCCATACCCACTGTGCCAAAATCTATATTTTCGAAGAAATTACTTATCACTGTGGTATCTTGTATAGTATCTGTACGATGTCTGTACATCATAATGGAAATTTTATTATGTTAATGATAAATTCAGGGCCTTGTCATAGATTATGACATATTAGCTGATCGTTAGATGAGGGAGTCAAAGGTAAACCGAAGGAGAAAGAATAAATTTTCGGACAAGTTTTTTTACCTCAACTTGATCGATTTCATTCAGCATGTCCATTTTGATATTTGCAAGAATGAGAGATGAAGCTTTTTCAAACAATGCCAGCATCCGAGGCTCAATCAAATCTGGCAATTCAAAAATAGGGACAACTATTATATTACTAGTAAAGACAGAATGATACAAAATTTATATAGGGTCATTGAAGAAAATTCTTATGTTAACTCCCAGAGTGAGAGTTTCTACACAACTGCAAATATTTATGCATTTCAACAAGGGAGAGGGAGAGAGATTAACATATGGTTTGGTAAAAAAAAATCTCTAAAATCTAACTTGCAACAAAAATGAAATAAACAAGTACGAAATGCTATGTACTTACCTACATCCAGTGCAGCATCATATTGACCCCTACCAATGATAGCAAGCATCCGCAAGAAATAATGATTGCAAAATGAACCTAAGGTTGAATGAGAAATTTTTACAATTGCTTAATACAAATTGGAAGAATTAAGAGCAAGACCTTAGGGTTTATCAGATAAAGAAAAATTCCTATCAGGGTTCAAAGTACTGGAAGTCATACCTATACCAAAAGTGTATATTCGAGGGCATATTGACTCTCCATTGATCATATGATTTTTTACATTAGCACAAATTTGTCTCTCATCTTCAACAGTTCCATCTGTAACTAGGAAAATTATCGGAACTGAACTTTGAGCACTGGACAGCATTTCTATTGCCTAAACAGAAAATAGAACAAATACATAAATGCACTCTACCCAGTAACAAGGGGATAAAACAACTAGTGTAGTGTGGTAATCAGTAATACATCAAAATTAAGTCGGAGAACATATAAAAATGAAGCAGAATTCGAGGAATGAGTTTTCCACAGTATACACCAAAAGTTGAGCATAGATTGATTTGAACATTCAGTACATATTATGCTGGTTCAGTATTAACCACTACTCAATAAACTTATAATCTTTATGTTTATGAAAAACTGCATATATGTATTTGGTATACCGTATTTAAGGGATGTGAAATATCTGTACCACCCCCGGCAACAAAGTTTGTGTTGATCCACTCACTGGCCCTTTCTACAGTTTCATTGGAAGCTGATTCCATTGATTTCGAAAATAGATGACTCTCTCCATTAAAGGCTATAATCGTAAACAAATCATCAGGATTAAGCTTAGAGAGAGCAGACAGTAGTGCATTCTTTGTGTCATCCATCAGCTTTCCCTGCATGCTTCCACTGACGTCGATGATAAATATTATGTCCTTTTTGAATACCTAAATATGAAGTAGGATTAGAAGTGAGAATTAAAAAAACAATTTAAAACACACTCCAAGTTTAGAGTTAGTTTACCAACCTTCTTATTTTGAATGTCTCCAGGAGAAAGATATATGTAGAACATCTCTCTTTGATCAAAATCATGCGCAGATGCAGATTCCAAGAGAACACCTCCGTTTATAAGACTTGAGGAGATCTAAGTGCAGGTAACAATGTAACAAGCTAATAAGATATAATCTTTCAACCACTGATGAAGTTACAAAGAAAAGCGTAAATTAAAATAGTTAGAAGTCTTACTGCATATGAAAAGCTAAAATCATCTTTTGACCATGAGAGAACTTCGTTATCACATAAGAAACCCATACTCCCAGCATGACGCCTCACTTCCTGGACAGTCAGAATAAAATGGTAATCGGTTATAATTTCTGTGAAATATAACAGTGGTGAGTGTTGTTCAATATCAGCAGTAGCGGCGCTATAGTGCTATAGTGTAGCAGAATGTGAAAAACCGATATAGTTTTGCTGAACTCTAAAGTACAAAATATTGTCAAATAGCAGTTATAGCACTAAGAAAATTGAACAAACAGCTATTTTCTGCAATTCATCACTGACAAGACTGCAGTGGTACCATATGTGAAATTGAAAGAAATATGAACCTGTAAGGGATGGCTAGTAGTCTTGAACAAAAGCTCACTTCCAGCAACAACATCCACATTCAGTCGTATCTTTTCTCTTTTCGACATTCTCTTCCCAGTAGGATTGACAAAATCTGGAAAACTGAAAGGCACATTCAAAGAGTACCCACCATTGGAGCATTCTACTTTCTGAGACCAATTCATTTTAATTGATAAATTTGAACCCCCGTCAATCTGTTACAAACCACATTGAATAACATAAACAACATCATATTAAAAACTACCCACTAGATTAAACAGATATAGAAAGACACTATCCAAAAATCCAAATATTCACCTCTGGTATAGTCAAAGTAAATATGTTTGATTTAAGATATCCTCCATTTTGAACTGGGGTAGCACTCTGGTTTTCATCCATAACTACCACTTGAGTTGAGTAGGATTTTCTAGGAGCATTAACCTCAACACCTAGAATTGAACCCTGTTAGCCAACTCATATCAGAAAAACGCAAAAAACAGATAAACGAGAAGAAACATAATAGATGAAAAAAATTAGTTTAAGTTCTTTAAATTCTAAAGCTTAGTTAAACAAAAATTAAAATATGAAAAAGAGTAAGTTAGGTTTAAAATAACAATAAAAACCGTTGTGCATGTGTCAAAAGAAGAAAAGTAAAGTAAAGCATGAGGAAACATGAATAAAAAAAATGGGGAAATCGGAAACTTCAAAAGTACCTGGTGGCCGACGGGAATGGCAAGACGGCAATCGCAGAAGCGGCTACCGGTAACGCAGTGGAGTCTCCAAGTACCGGAGACGGTGATGAAGGCAGTATCAAGATAACAGTCAATTTCCATCTCAATTGCGTTCATCTGAAGCGGAATAAGTGCCGGAGGATCGCACCGTCCGTACACGTAAGGTTGGTAGCTAGCGATGTCAGGGTTATCAACCATCCCTGGATCGTAAATCACCGCGTAAACCATCGGTGCTTTAGGAAGAAGCGCATTCAACGACCTTTCCATCAACGTCAGAGGCTTCGGCGGTGCCACCGCTCTGTCTTTACCGAAGTATAATCGTCTGGAGAGCTTTATACCGTCATCAACGGCTCTACAAAATTCGTCCGCCATTAGAGAGTGAAAAAGCTCTGAAAAACCCTTTGGAATAGGAAGAAGAAAGAATAGTCGAGAAGAAGAGGTTGTAAAAGAAAGAATGAAGATGAAGAATAATTAAAAAAATGAATAATTGAATAAAGAAGAAAGGGTTGAGATTAAGAGAAGTGAGTATAGTGTGGGTCCTTCTTAAAGTATAAGCTTCTGGTTTTCCGTTATAAGCCACGTGCGACCATTTGCGGGTCGACACGTGTGTCACTACTGCGTAGGTAATTGGAATGCAGAATCGGATTTTGTTGGTGCGTGGACCCGAATTCGGTTGGTCTCTGAACTGATTATTCCGGGTTTGGTTTTGATTAATTGTGTAATTTTGACCCGAATTTTGGATTTGTAGGTATTTTTGCTAAATTTGGTTGATGCTGATTTGTTTGTTATTTTTGTATAAAATGACGAAAATGGGCTTAAAGTTAGTAATGAAGAGCCTGAATATAGAGTAGATATGCAGAGATGAATTTATTAGTTGTTCATTGATTAATGTGAATAAATGGGCATCCATGTCAGCATTCATTAAAAAAAATGGTACTGAGCTGTCATCATCTTCCAACTTGACCGTTGGAGTACCGCTAAAATGACAGAGTATGCTTTTTGAGAGTTATTCGCTCGTCCTAACCTCGTAGGGTGTCACCGAACTACGAGTCCTTTGATTTTCCACAACCATTTGTACTTGCTTTTCAACGTATTGTTAGGATTTTGGCTTCATCTCCTTGTATCAAAGAAGCTTCAATTCTAACGTTAACCAAAGGTCAACTAGCGGTTTTTTTTGGGTTAGATACTTTTTTTTTTGTCTAGCTTTGGGTCCTATTTGTTAAAGAATTAAATAAAAATTAGATTAAAAAAATTAAATAAAAAGAAAATCAAGTTTAATTAATTTATATATGTTTATATTTTTCATTAAACAATTAAGTCATTTTTATAATATACTTTATATAATAAAAAATTTATATTTAATTTAATTTTTTTTGTAAAATAGTCTAGTAACTTAATTTTATTTTTTAAAGATGAATAAATAAATGTCTCAGATTTAAATATGTGCATCCGCATATGATGTTCTTACACAATTATTAATTTAATTAGTTTAATGAGATTATGTTTAATTTTTTAATATAAATATTTGTTTTTTTTAATTTAGTTAACTTTCTATTTTAGTTATTTATTTAAAAAATTATAATTTCCTTATTTAATTAATTACTATATTTCACTCAAAGTTTTCAAAGCAACTATGATTAAAAAAATATTAAAGCATATTCAAAAAATTTACCTTCAATTAAAATATTATGATTTCATTATTCAATTAATTACTATATTCACCTCAAATATTTATAAAAAAGATTGTTATTAAAAATTCTTTTTTTTTTGGCAAAATAACTTTTTTCGTCCCTTAACTTTAGCTCGGGGTCCATGTTGGTCCCTTATCTTTAAAAAGTGGCAAGTTGGTCCTTTAACTTTTAAAATGGTGTCACGTTTATCCTTCTGTGTGTTGTCGTTAGTCAAACTTTAAAAAAATTGTCAAGTTTGTCCAGGTGGAGCTGCTGACGTGCCATGTTTGTCCAGGTAGAGCTGCTGACGTGGATATGAAGTGTCTTAGAGGAAGAAAAACAATTCTAACGGTTCCATTACCCACCATTACCCAGACCAGAAGAAGGCACGACAAGGTGGAGCTGCTTGGAGAAGTGTAATCATATCTTAGAATTTTGGAGAATTCATTGAGTCATTGAAGACGATTCAAGTTTTTCAGACGCGAATGATTGAGGGTTTTCTGATTTAGGGTTTTCTGATTGAGGATTGAAGACGATTCAAGAGACATAATCAAAAGGTTAGTTCATTTCTCTCTAATTTAGGGTTTTTTTTACACAATTGACAGTTATAATTGGTTTCCTGTAATTCTGCTTATGCATCTTATTTACCCGTTCTTTTCTCTGTCATGTTTATGTTGTTACACATGTATCAATGGTTTTAAAATCCAGCTAAATTTTAGATATCATATAAACTAAAACAACATGGAGAATAAAAATTTTATAGTCTCCAGAATGGTAAAATTTGTCAAACTTCTTGAGAGACAGCAGACATATTGGCGTGTTTATCATCAGAACAATTTCTCGAATGCTTCAAAGAGATGTTAATAGCAAAATTTGAATGGCTAGTATATAGTATTTTCTTTATATATGTCTGTAATATGGTTTTATTGTGTTGAAAACTCTTATTTTGTTGAGAAGTGAGCATCAGTTCTTGCTTTACTGAGCATATTTCTTATTCAGCATTTCAAATAAAAAGCTACAGAACTTTTTATGATAGTTATGACAAAATTCTTGTTTATAGGTATGGTAACAGTATGATGTTGCAGCCTTTATTTCCAACAAATAATTCTTATGAATCAAAAAAATTATCTGAAAATACAAAGACTACTTATCAGTGTGATGGAAAAAACCAAAAAGAGGATAGTAACACCTATCTGGTGATTGGTCAGTCTGTACAAGTTGATGCAAAATTTCCGAACAGTCGACATGAATTCTTTCCAGTCGCCACCACCGGGGACATGAAAGGAGCACGACTAAGGGACGGTGAAGCTCCTAATGCTGTACCATCACATTCAAAGTAAGTTCCAATCATTTTGTTATGGTACATTGGTATTCGACTGGTTAGGTCGCTGGTGTCTCAAATTTATTTCCATCTTTGCAGATTACATCAGCTGCTTCTTGAGGAACGTATTGAGAATGGTTATAGTAATCCAGCTCGCCTAGTGAAGCTGAAGAAAAGACAATTGAATGGACCTGCTGTTGAAGCAAAATCTAGGAAAAGTTACATGGAGAAATTTCTAGAAACTCCCTCGCCTGATCCGAAAATGATTTATGAAACTTCAATCTTTCCGCTGTCAGTGAAACCGGCACCAGATGATTCTAGCGAAGCAGGGATTAAAATTCTTGAAATCAGTAGCATTAAAAAGTCTATTGGAGATGAAAACTCTTGTTCATCCCCTTATGAGCCGGAGTCTGAACTTCACCAATCTACTGGAAAGTTCTTTATGTCAGATGTAAATATCATTGAGCATTGTGGTTGAATATGTACAATCAGAACCTATTTTATTCTCAACTACTAAATATCATGAAGCAGAAATTGAAGGCATGCCATCCAATCAGCCTCCCGAAATTGTTGAGTTTCAAAATACAGATAATAGAAAGTTTGTCATGCGTGATGATACCCATGTTCATGAAGACGGGGTTTCTGACTGCTCAGACTCCAACTCAGACTGCTCAACAACCTAGCCAACAATCAGCCCGACTCAATCATACTCCAACTCAGACTGCTCAACAAACTAGCCAACAATCAGCCCAACTCAATCATACTCCAACTCAGACTGCTCAACAAACTAGCCAACACACTCCTATCAGTTGTGTTAAAAGTTTATGTATTTTGCTGTTGTCATGAACAAGTTTATGTATTTTGCTGTTATTTTGGAACAAATTTATGTATTCTGCTGTTATTTTGGAACATGTGTATCAGTTGTGGAACAAGTCTATTTTATGGAATGTATTACAAGTTTATGTATCCTGCTGTTGTTGTTTATGTATCCTACTATATGTATCCTACTATATGTATCCTACTATGTGTATCAGTTGTGGAACAAGTCTATTTTATGGAATGTATTACAAGTTTATGTATCCTGCTGTTGTTGTTTATGTATCCTACTATATGTATGCTGCTCAACAACCTAGCCAACAATCAGCCCAACTCAATCATACTCCAACTCAGACTGCTCAACAAACTAGCCAACACACTCCTACCAGTTGTGTTAAAAGTTTATGTATTTTGTTGTTGTCATGAACAAGTTTATGTATTTTGCTGTTATTTTGGAACAAATTTATGTATTCTGCTGTTATTTTGGAACATGTGTATCAGTTGTGGAACAAGTCTATTTTATGGAATGTATTACAAGTTTATGTATCCTGCTGTTGTTGTTTATGTATCCTACTATATGTATGCTGCTCAAAATAAATATGCTTCAGATTTTATCTTCAAGGTATATACCCCCACGGGTATATAATGCAAGCAGCTTCACAGTACATATACCCCCACGGGTATATAGTGTAAGAATTTTGATCAATTTGAAAGCTTGACTTTTTGCAAATATGGAATGAGCTTAACTATGACCTAGAACAAGTTTATGTATTGTACTGTTGTCATTTTGGAACAAGTCTATTACATTTTATTGTTGTTGTCATGAACAAGTTTATGTGTTATAATTTGAACATGTTGTACTCTACTGCTGTCATGAACAAGTTTATAGTCTGAACATGTTGTACTCTACTGCTGCCATGAACAAGTTCTACAGTTGTTGTATTTTAATGCTGTCATGAACATGTTGTTTTGGAAAGTATTACAAGTTTATAATTTGAACATGTTGTACTCTATTGCTGTGATATACCAAAGAGCAGAACCTAAAACTGTGATATAATCCAAACTGTTATATACCAAACATAAAAAGCAGAACTGTTATATGTATGCTGCTCAGAATAAATATGCTTCAGATTTTATCTTCAGTGCATATACCCCCACGGGTATATAGTGCAAGCAGCTTCACAGTACATATACCACCACGGGTATATAGTGTAAGAATCTTGATCAATTTAAAAGCAGAACTGTTATATGTATGCTGCTTTTACCAAACATGTATGCTGCAAAACTGTTATATACCAAACATATAATCCAAACTTTTATGTATGCTAACATATAATCCAAACTTTTATGTATGTTACTTTATGTATAACCAAAATTGTTATATGTATAACCAAAACTGGGTAAAACACTTTAACCTAAAAGCAGTCCAAACTGTTATATGTATGCTGCTTTATGTATGCTACTGTTATATACCAAACATAATCCAAATTGTTATATACCAAATATAAAAAAACACATTGACATGATATAATCCAAAACTGTTATATTCATTCATGTTGAACTGCAAAAACTGAAATTAACTAAACTGATACAATCCATATATTAAAATCCAACTATTACATTCATGTTGAAGTCATACAAACTTTAACTAAACATAATACTTCCAAACAAACCGTAATAACCTAACTACCCCTAACAACTAATACAATGATAATCATCACAAACATCAAATTCAAAATCTTTTTCCACTTCATGATATTCTTCATTTCAATTTCAAGTTTCATCAGCTTTTTTTCCTAATTCTTCATTTTCCATTGTCGCTTTTTCAATGTCCTTTTTTGCTTCAGCAAGTCCCTTAGTTACCACACCCAGCCTATGGATCCAAAATTGCTCCTTCTCATCACCCATCTCCTTATAAAACCAATCAAAGAAGTCACAACCAGCTTGCATACCTCCATGTAAGATTCATTGTTTAAAGTATGATGGATAATAAACAGAAACATCAAAAAAACAGAAATATAAACATAATTTACACAAAAACATAACTTCAACAGAGAATAAAACCAGCTTGCATACCTTATAATTTGGACAACCCCAAATTTTTTCCCATATTCTTAATAGTAGTTGCCCTTTGAAGAACATCCATGTCTCCACAATGGCACATGGGCTTCCATCGTGACCGACTACAAACATTTGAATCCCGACTTTTTGTTTTTGAAATGGAAGAGGAGCATCCGGATTTCATGCTTACCCTAGATTAATTTACAGATTCGTGATTGGGATTGAGATTTGAGATTTGAGATTATTTTAGGGATTTCAACAGAAGGATGAGGGAGAAGGAAGACACATCACGAACAAGATTGCCACCTCATCTGCCAGATATACAAAACAAACAGACGTTTGGAGGCAACTGACGGTGAGGACTAAAATGACACTATTTTAAAAGTTAAAGGACTCATTTGGCACTTTTTAAAGATAAGAGACCAAAATGGACCCCAAGCTAATGTTAAGGGACCAAAAAGGTTATTTTGCCTTTTTTTTTTCAATTTCATTGAAGGAGAGACTCAGTTGTAATCTCAATTTAACGATTTATATTTTTTATTTGTTCTATTAATTATAAATTTGTTTATTTTTATGCATATGCGTATGCCTTTAATTTTAAATATGTGTGTAATCTTGTTAAGTGTACATGAGTAGTCATAGTAGATATCATCGTAAGAGTTGGCAAAACGACATCTATATATCGTCTTCTGTATATAAAGGCAAAACATGATTTTGGTGTAGTCTTTTTTTTCTTTCAAATATACCATTTTCAATTTTTATTTTAAATCTCAACTTCTCTTTCTAACAAATGATGGTTATGTGATTATTTATTAACTTTTCAATACAACGATCAGAGTTTTGTCATGAACAAAAAAAGCTTTTAAGTTTGTAGAGTTGGAGTGATCCGCTATCACACACGGATAAAAAACAAGTAAATAAACGTAGTATACGGGAGCAACACTCGAGTCCTTTCGCAAGGTCTCTAAGTTAATCTTTAATATAAGAAGTTTTGTTGTTTTGGAAATTTTGATTTTTCCCCAAATGCTATTGTGTCACCTAACCATGCATTATTTTTCCAATTCATCTCATTTTTATTATTTAAAAAAAAACCATGTACAACATTTATGAGAAACTTTGGTCTCTCTCTCTCTCTCTCTCTCTCTCTCTCTCTCTCTCTCTCTCTCTCTCTCTCTCTCTCTCTCTCTCT